ATATCTGGCTGAAAAGAAAAAATGTAATACTTGTTGGCGACTTCAACTCTGATATGTTGCACAAACCTAACAATAGGGAATCCGAATATGGAAAACGCCTACGAGGGATTCTATGTAGCTGTGGACTAAAGAACATTATCAACAGCCCAACCCGTATTACTGTCACCTCCAAGTCACTTATTGACCTCGTGATCACTAGTCAACCCTCAAAAATCCAAACCTCTGGCTCCATCGACCTGGGTATCTCTGACCACCACCTAATATTCGCAGTCTTCAAAGTTGCAAGAGGTAATGCAAACCCAAAGTTATCCCAACCAGGAAATATAAATCGCTAGACACAAGGCAACTTAGAAGTGACTTCGACCGGGCTCCCTGGCATATAACTAGTTTATTCGACGACATCGATGACAGTGTCGACGCTTGGCAATGTCTATACAATGAAATCCTACATCACCACCTACCCCCACGAGATACTAAAATAAGAGATAAGTCTCTTCCTTGGATCAACACCTCCATCAGGAAAGAAATAAACAAAAGATACAAGCTCCTTAAAAAAGCAAAGTCATCAGGCGACCCCGAATTATGGGATCTCTACAAACAGAAGCGATATGAGGTTAAGAAGCTACTAAGGAGTTCTGAAGCTGATTATTGGCAAAAATTATTCAATGAAGCTACTGATTCTAATGAATTTTGGAAATTGACCAACCAAGTCTTGAGGAAACACAAAGTTAAAAACATCGGTCCAATCTGTGATCACAACGAGGAGATAATAATCCATGATTTAGAGAAGTCAGAGTATTTTAATGACTTTTTTTGTAAATGTCAGCAAAGACCTCACTAAGCAACTTGACCCTTTGAACTTGTCATCCATAAACACCTTTATCACTAGAGCCACTCCTACCAGGGACAAAACTGAAATGAGCTGGGAACTGGTAAAAAACAAACTGATTTAAGCTGCTAACCCCAAGAAGGCTAATGGTCCAGACCAAGTATCCCCCAGGGTCCTCTTTATGATTGGTGACCCTGTTATCCACAGTCTTTTACCAATCTTCAGGAAGAGTATATGTGATGCATCTTTCCCTTCAAGCTGGAAATTATCACGTGTTAACCCCATATTTAAGAAAGGCTCACCAACAGAAGTGAACAACTACAGACCTATCTCCCTCCTCAGTATCCCTGGGAAAATCTTAGATGTTGTTGTCAGTGATACCTTGAACAACCATTTCGACACACAAGGCTTGTTATCTCATAGACAGTGGGGTTTTCTGAAAAATTATTCAACTGAAAGCCTCTTACTTCACCTAACAGAGACCTGGAAAAATGCGCTAGACAAGGGCCTGAAAGTGGGCGTGCTTTTTACTGACTTTCGAAAAGCATTCTACACAGTGAACCATACCATCCTTCTAGAGAAGCTAAAGGCCATTGGGATATCTGGCGATTTGCTTTCGTGGCTTACCGATTACAGGTCTGCACGTAAGCAATTTGTCCAATTATCAGGATATCAGTCCGAGCCCAAAACCATCACACATGGAGTTTCCCAAGGCTCAATACAAGGGCCCAAATTATTTTCAATATTTGTAAATGATGTTCCAGTATCAATAACTAGTGGTGAATTATTTATGTTTGCCGATGATACCACTATTTTTACAATTGGAAACAACATCGACGATATCATCTTAACACTCCAGTCTGTACTAGACCAGCTGTACACCTGGTGTCAATCAAACAGATTAATCGCCAACGAATCGAAATCTGAAGCCCTGATAATTTCTAGCCAGAACTTTATTGGCCCCCTGCCACGCTTGGCCTTTGGTAATAGCTTTATTGAGTACAAAACATCATCTAAATGTCTTGGGGTGACAATTGACAGCAAGCTATCATGGCAGGAGCACATAAAGAACGTTTGTAAGTCATTCAGCAACAAAGTTGCAGTACTGAATCGGATAAAGTTTTTACCGATACCAACCTTAGAAAACATTTATTATAAAACTATTATCCCTAGCGTTTTGTATGGCATTGTAGTCTGGGGGTCTTGTTCTTCAACCTTGACGGATGATATTGATCGAATTCATTTAAGAGCTACTAGAATTATTTACAACCTACCCCATAGCATCCACAGTGATGACATCATGAACGCTCCACACTGGAACTCTATTGTTTCATTTTACATCAGGAGACTTTTAGTTATTACGTACAATATCTATCATGGAAATAGCAT